AAATCCGCCGAAACGTCAGCTCATTTGTGAATAAAGAATAATAACACCTCGCGTTTGCTCAACAAAAATACGAAGAATATGCTCTGTGTTAATGTTTTTATTTTTTGCATGCTGTAATTTTTCACGAAAGGGTATGACGTGGATTACAACCACAGCGATGCTGAGATATTTGCAAAACTTGGAACCCTGGCCAGATCGAACTGCGATTTCCCTTCGCGGAGACTCACCCTTTACACACTGTTCCACGGAATCCCTCGATCTGCGTTTTTGTCAGCTGATTTTTTACCTAACGTTTCCATCAGCAATAACCCGTCAGATTTGCGTTGAACCCAGTTAAACTGAGTTTGTAATTCACATCATACCCTACCGTGAAAAATTATAGTAGGCAGAAGATAAAAAGGTTAGCAATGTGATTTCGACTGCAGCCTCAGCTTAACTGAATTCAATGCCGACTTGTGCTCCCCATACCAATCCCGCTGACGTGTGATTTCTGATGGCACCGTTAAGTGGAAAACTAGCTAACGCAGAGCAATGGCCTTGGCGCCGTGTGTAATGCGCAAGCCCCCGGAAAGGGAAGCCATGGTTCGATCTGGCCTGCAGTCCAAGTTTTGCGAATATCTCAGCATCTTTTTGGTTGTAGTATGCTCTATGATATCAGATTTAAGCAGAAGAGATATATAAGATATTAGGCTTTCATCAGTACCACCAATGGAACAGAGATTTTCTGATTGCCCACAATCATGAAAGTCACTTCAGTTGTCGCTGATGTTAAACGTTTTTCTATCCTCTGGTTAGCAGTTCTAACAGACAACCATATTTGGAAAACAAAAAGCTATTACGATTAAGACGATTCTTCACATTCAGATAGACTATCATAAACGTATTTATTAGGAATCCTATTATATTTATGATACAGAGATCATTCTTTATCACAAGCGGTACTTAATTCCATTTGGATACTTCATGTACTCTCCGGACGACAGGTCGGGGATTTTGAGTGGGACGAGCCGTCTATAGAACAATGACCAGAGGAGTAGCGTGATACTGAGTGTTCCAATCTACAAATGGGATTTTGCCATATGCTTAGACTTAGTGTCAATCAATACGTATGGTTTGTATATCGTCGCAATGCTCACGGAACAACTGTCATCATTTGCGAACTAAAAGGTCCAGGAAGCTGTTCTCAGTTATTTCTTACTTGTAGACTTTGTTCTTCAATTACTTTTCTAAGGAAATCATCCCTGCAACTACGCTAGAGCTGCTGCACTAAGCACCATTTAGTATGGATTCGCTCAGGAGAAAAAAGAAAAAGCGAAAAAACCCGTCAAAGAGTCAGAAAGCTCAATAGCCATTTTCGCATCAAACAAGAGATTCTGACTGCTTCGCTTGGCAATGTCATATGAATATGTTGCTGTTTTGTCGTGAATTCTGCACTTAAGAACTGAATAAGAGTAAGTTAATAAGAAAACAACAAAATTCAACAATAACGGTGAACTAAAGCAAGTCATACCACGTGCACAACTGTAAATAGCAATCACTGAGTTTTTCACTTGACTTACGGCTAAGGCTATTCGGCTAAGAGTCCATATAAGCATCGATTTTTTAGTGGAGGAAGCTATTGGCCACACTAACAGAAAAAATGAACCCAATCTTCATGTAGTTCATTATTGAGTCAAAGGAAGGTTGTGAATGAATTTTCCTGTTATGCTTAGATAAGAACTGGTGCCAATGACACTATGATACGTCTTAAAAGAATGCACAATAATGTGCAGAGCCAGAACCAACCTCGATACTCCAGACTGGAACAGGACCGTGTAGTTGAAATAGAGATGACACAACAAGTGGTCCGATTACACGAGCAAGACTTCCAGCCATTAGCATAATACCCTGCATTGTTCCCTGAGAATGTTCGCTATAAGCTGTGGAATACAACATTTGACATCTAGTTTTCCTATGTACTATAGAGCAAGGCAAATCATCCACTTAATGGTCTCCATCCAGGATCTCGCACCCGATTAGCTGCTAGGTTATATAACGCACACTCAAATGCATATACTACACAAAAATAATATGCACAATGACGAACTCTGTTTGTCGTGGGACGCATGTGAAGAAAGCGGTCGGACTTCTTGGTTTCACTGTGGTGAACTACATTTATGTAACTACAATGATGCGGAGATATTTGCATAACTCAGAAACCCAGGACAGATTCGAATATGCGATTACACTTTCCGGGGCTCACACGCCAACAATCACAACGAAGTCCTGCTCTGCCTATCTATGAGTCAGTTTTCACCCTAATGGTGCTATCAGGAATCAGTCGTCAAGGGAAATGATCAGAGAAGCATAAATCGCCATTGAACCAGATTAAGCTGAAGCTGAATTCGGAATTAATTTCATTTATACATTCCTGTCACATTCATACATTTAGGATATGCCTATGTGTTCTACCACTCACTGAACACGAAGGATTGACGTCATTACGAACGAATGGAGCTTTATCACAGTACAACATAAGGATTAAAAAAACAAGACGATAACCGCTATACTCTTCTCCACACCCGCCTTCTACTTTCTGCTTTCGCTGAGGCAAGTAATTAAAATTAGGATTAACAGTGAGGAATTCATGGATGTGTTAGTGCATCTGCACACAAACTTCGTACGATCGAGCAGCGTGTGAGATGGCGGAATTCTCAACGATTATTCAATGAAAACTTATTGAAAACTCTTCCTTGTACCTGTCTCCTAGGTCCAAGAATTTTGCTGAAGAGGGTGTTCATCGAGACAGTAACGAAAGGAAAAGCAGCAGCCAGTAGCGTGCAGTACAACACCCCGTACAGCCAAAATGTGACCTAAGAATTTGAATAAAGCATGAATACTAGAGGAAAGAAAACGTCTTTGACCTCATCAATTGTTACCTGATAACTCATTTCAGCACATGGAAAATGATTTTCATAATTCTAGACGAATGGCAGTAACTATTTGACCTTGTATTTTTTAATGGCGACTTCAGCGTTGATAGACAACAGAGGTCAAATCACCATTGAGAACCTGATAAGGGAGGGTTCGAAGATACTATCGCGTTAATCAGTCACAAGTGCTTAGTTCAAAATGATGAATAATGTACAAAAAGTAGAAGAGTACTAGTTAGTCAATTAGCCTAGACTTATACAGTAATTTCCAACCCCAGTTCTGACATCCTATTACCCTCCTGATTCTTCACAAGCTAGTGTTTTTTTCTTGAACGTACACGAGATTGTCAATAACAGGACGTTTTGGATTTTGTTACGGCTAATGTGTCAACTCAGAATCAGAGATATATTTGTCGTAGCTCCAATTATAGAAGGTTTTCGAAAGAATCAAATGACACTTCGAATGAACGCTGATGTTTCGAACCCGTCCTTAGAATGATTCCGCCTTTTCTAACGAACATCATGAACCCATTAATAAGCAAATTGTTACTATGGCTCTAATTTCCACTGGATTCGGTTTCATTTGCAGACTTGCTGATGTAGTGTGTGTATAGAGTTGGCATAGGCATTTCATAAGGGCAAGCAGTTGGGAGTATTAGTATCGAGTTGTATTCTTAGAAACAGAAATCCTGCTATCGATCCAAGTATATAGAGTGTGGGTTACTAGTTAAAATCGATAAACAAACCAGTAACGATTCTATGAATTTCACGTAGAAAATACGAATGACCAAGAACAGTTACGGTATTTAAGGCTATCGCACCCAAGTTAACGAGACCTAATGCGGAAATAACATAGCTCATATTGAAAAGATTACACAAAATCAAGTTATATTCATAGCTTACGTAGTGTGTCGAACTGCACCAAGCGTATTCACGAGGATCACATCCCAGCTTCAATGTGACGTTGTGCGGAAGAACTGAAAGCTGGCATAACTAACTTAACAACTTTATTCTTGTTTATTCATAATGAACTCACCCCACCTACATATAATTCTGTTCTGTTATTTCTAGTACTCTGAAAAGTTCTCTATTCAAAAAACGGTCTGAAATCAAGAAAAGGATATTTCAGTTGAAAACACAAAGCATTGAGCAGGAAATTGTCCCCAACTATCTCTTTCAAGCTTTCAAAATATTCGGAAGTTAACAACATGTAACGGATATTCAGTGTTAGCGATAATATTATTCGATAATGGTGTAAGAACAGTTTGGCACCTAACTGCCTTTAGGAAAATGTACGGAAAACTACATTTTATCGCTCTTAAGATACATGACAGTGCATGTAGCACACTGGTAGTAACGTTCTTCATCACGAACACGTTGCTAGTACGACCTCACCCCGGGGTCTGTCATCTATCCAGAGTTTGGAAGCCGATTTCAGTCTTGGCTGAGTCCAACTCATTTACTCATATCTACCCAGAAACGCTTTAACGTAACTACTCTAAGAACTGAGGGAGAATTGACTCTACCCTTAATCATCAACAATCGTAATTAAGAAAACAAAAATCTTCAAGCAGCAGCCAAACCCATACGTGAAAAATTTGGATTGCAGATTGTTGAAGAAACTCATATTTACATGTTTGCAGTTCGTAGAAGAACACAGTCCACATTCATCAAGAAAAATTTGCCCCACGCGCTTGGTACATTAAATTAGGCATAATCGCTAATGCATTGAATCGCTTCGTGGCTGGAGAACCGAGAGTCGCCATGAACGACTTAAAAGACGATTTGTATCTCCAAAAGAGTGGAGTTCTACTATGACGAAAGAAATAAATCTGCAATCCAGGCAAAGGTTTAAAAATCCTAACCGCCGCTGTTTCCGCAGACATCGAAAGCACTGTATCCTATTTGAATTAGAAGCTAAAAATATTTTGACCGACTTCACTTCTAGCATTAACCGAAATTCTTATTGTCTTCAATTTTTCAGTGTAAAATCCAGTTTTTTGATCAAGGGTAAAAATTGAAAAGGATAACTGATTCGAAAGTAAAGGAAGAAAAGAGGTACCAAGATGCAACAGAATATGTCACTTACATGGATACTTGGATGGCTCGCCTTCAGTTGCTGTATGGTTGCTAGCAATAACTACTATTTTTTCGGAGTCTTGCTGGTTTAACCACTATGGTTCCATGGAGTCCTGAGGTAAGCGCAGCTAAAGTCTGCGCTAGGCCGTCATCACCACAGGTCGTCGCCGCCCATGTGGAACAGAGAGAGACTTGCTACCATGCGACTGTTTGGATAGCAGGCCGGCCGTGATTTCTGGTGTTGGTTTACTCTTAGCTGGGGTTCTTGATGCAAATGCCGGACTCCTTCTCGGCTTGGGAGACCCTGCTGGGGATCTCCCTACTGTACATCACAGCCCGACACCCAGGAACATCTTCCAGCCACGATGAGGCTGTAAACCGTTGGGACGATAGAGTATGTTATATTTTCTAGGGAATCTAGATTACAAATTTTAAGATTAGAGCAACATATTGCGTTTGTTACTGCATTTGCTATATTATATAACGTTGTATACGTTTATATTACGTCTACCATTATTTATTATTTATTAAACACTTTCATCAAACTCCATGAAGTTTATAGAAACTGTATGTTTTCATCACAAGATCAGCAATCATCCGTCAATGGGATTGTTCTGGGGAGCCCACATCGGCATTGGATCCAGTTAAGCTGAGGCTGTAGTTGAATTCACAATGTTTTACAGACGGCACTGATCGATAGAACAAGCTGAGAGACAGGCGAAACGAAGGACCCGCATGGTGTGGTGGTGAACGCCTGGAAAGGGCAATAGCGCGTTCGTTCCTCACCGCAGACACCTGCGGCCCGGATTTTTGCAAATATCTCAGCAATCTTGTGGTTGTATTTCGCTCAATACATTGCCATTAAAATTATAGAAGGCAGAAAACAAAAAGTAAAACTTATATATTTTCATGTTTAAACATTACCTTAGGTCAACTGATATTATTACGGCTTTTTCAACCGAATAGAATTTCAGCCGTGACACTGACATCACCTGAATGTCACTCATCATCCTCACCTTTAGTTGTTAATTTCAACGTTGGCCCAAATGGAAATGGAAAAGTGGCGATGTGGTAGAGGAGTGCCAGTCCTAGGCCAAACATCGTACAAATTCGCTCACGGCCTTTAGACATACTACAAATATATATATACATATAGTGGTAACATAATGATATTATGAAAATATGCTGCTCTTCGACTTCTTGGATAAACAACTGGATTTCGCACATGACCGCTTGAGTCAATGTCAACGGTTATGGAGGGAACGTGAGCTGTTAGTAACGCATGTGCGTAAAAAATATCTCCATGAACGAGTGTCGCTAGAGATGCAAACAACTGGCGATTGGTATGGAGATCGTAAGATTCATAAGGAAGAGCCACACCATCCAAGTAATTAGTGATAACCACTTCGTGTATACCAATTAGCTATTCCCACTATGTGGTGTAGTGAATTTTGTTAGGTAGATTAGTCAGCTAGAAAGTCTTGCTCGCGTGCGTCAAAGGAAATAACTAGACCGCTGATGCTTTGTTGACATCACATTCGTCCTAGTGCACGTGTCTACTGCCTTCCAACTTTTTTTTATCGAATAGTATAATGTTTTTCCGAATACTCGAATATTCGAAGAATACAGAAATCGGTGGTGACTAAGCGATGATAACGTTCATAGTAGAAAAACTTACCAGTCGCCAAATTTTAATACAAAACTTGCATAGATAAATATGCTGAATATGCCGTTCAACGCCTGTATAATGCCTGTAATTAAGATAGTTAACATAATGATAACAATAAGTGTAGCTAGATTCAAACTCAGCACATTCCTGACGATGTGAGCTTCCTCATACGGAGTCGTACGATAGCGAAACTACGTCCATTTTAATTTTAAACTAGCACCAGTTCTCAATACGGACTTTCTATTAACTTCGGCATTGACCATATAACCACAAGATTGCTGAGATATTTGCAAAACTCCGGACCGCAAGTGTCTGCGGTGGGGAACGAACGCGCTGTTGTCCTTTCCAGGAAGTAACGCGTTCACCACCAAACCATGCGGGTCTTTCGTTTCGCCTGTCTCTCAGCTAGTTCTATCGATCAATGCCGTCAGCAATTACCCGTCAATGGGATTGATCTGGGAGTCTACATCGGCATTGGACCCAGTTAGGCTGAGGCTGTAGTCGGAAAGACAATAGTGCGTTCGCTCCCCACCGTAGACACCTGCGGTCCGGAGTTTTGCAAATATCTCAGCAATCTCGTGGTTGTATTTCGCTTAATACCATGCCATAAAAATAATAGAAGGCAGAAAATAAAAAACTAAACATTGTCCATATATAACATCCATTGTCCATAATTCACTGTATTCATGATGAACAAGCACCACTTCATTTTCTTTATTACGACAAAGCTGACATTTCGGCGGATTTCGCCTTCTTCAGAACGTGGGAGGGTCAAGTTGATTGCAATCTACCCAGTCAAATACCTCCACAACCAAAACAGGGAAAATGCTTAAAAATAGGATTTCAACTGCTTTGGAAACAAGACAACTTTCCAGCATACCCAATGCTTTTTATGAGCCTTGAACTGGTTATATCAGTGGACAGCAAGCGCACAGAGTTCACATAGAAGTGTAATATTTGTGTCGCATTAAAATATCAGTCTTAAATGCTGGGTGAAATCACGCGTAATTAAGAGGCATTCCTCTCTGGCATTCATATTTCAACTCTTGGAACTTATCTAGAATTCTTAAAGACTTTTGCGCGTTTATGTTTTCTATTCCGGTGCGAGGTTGATAAGAGGCGCACTACCCACCCATGTGAACTCTGTGCGGTTGGTGTCCACGTGAAATACTCAGTGGAAGACTCAGAGAAAGCGGTGAGTGGGCGAAGAAGCTGCATTGTTTTCGATGCAACTGGGACCAAGGTTTCATGATTTTTCTGTTGGGGTTATGGAGCTGGTTGGCTGAGTAGATTGTAGTCAACCTCAACTCTCCAGACTTTCAAGAAGGCGAAATCCGTCGAAATGTCACCTTTTTCACCACTAGAGAATAAGATAACAACCTCGCGCTTGCTCATAAAGAATGCGGTGAATCATTTAAGCCGGTGAATTCCAGTTCACAGTGAACTTCACTAGCTGAAACAAAAATGATTGGAATGTACACTTTTGCTTACAAGTCTTGTCTTCTCTTCTATACTTCTTTCTCTTGATACTTGATACTTGGATGACCCGCCCTCACTGGTTGTGAGGGTCCCAGCGTAATCTCCATTTTTCGGAGATTTGCTGGTTAAGCCATTATAATTTCCTGGAGTCGCGAGGTCAGCCTGGCCAAAGTCGGCCCCAGGTCTTCACCACCACGGGCATTTGCAGCTCTTGTGGATCAGAGGGAGATATACCACCATGCGACTTTGATACCAGGACGGTGGTGGATCCTGGTATCGGTTTACTCTTAGCTAGGTTTCTTGATGGAAACGGCGGACTCCTTCTCAGCTTGGGAGACCCTGCCAGGGGATGAATCCTCCGCTGTACATCGCAGTCCTATACCCAAGAACACCTCCCAGCCACGATGAGGCGGTAAACCGTTGAGAGACTTCTTTCTCTACTACAATGAAATTCTGGTTTTCTCGAGCGCAGTAATTTTTTGGCTTTGTTTAGGATGGTATTTCGCACATGATAGCAAGTTAACAAGCGGTGGTTCATCCAGAGAGATATTCCGTTAACTGTGTTCCCGAACACGAGGCATGTGTGGCGCACTGGTCGCAGGCGCACTGCAACACACATGTGGAATCGATCCCAGTGCCCGTAGTTCGCCAAGCCTTCCATCCCTCCGGGCTAGGCAAATTGGTACCACACTTGTCTAAAAGGATAGACTGGCTCGATACATTGATAGGGCACCGCTAGTCATTGTGAAAGCCAGATATGCATTCAGTCACTTCCAACGATACTTAGTGAAATCGAATGTATGGCACATCCCCAAGGGATTGATCAACGCCAACAAGAGGGGAGAGGAGAGTGTGCTGTGCTGGTATTGCTCATGGTTGAATGCCTTGAGTTGAAAAATTTAAAAATTTAAATTTCATCTCCATTTTTTCAGAATTTCGGTTCTGAACAAATTCGAATGTGAGAGGACCTTTTATAAAACTACATATACCATCAAGATTATATAGAAAACCTTCTTCTCTACCTATGCTAAGTTCTCAATCCCTTAATTAGTTATTTAAGAAATTATCGCCTATTACCGAAAATTTGCCTTCTTCTCAATGAAAGGCTGCAAAGTTGCAATGGCATTGGTGGAAGCAGCTAACAGAGAAGCTTAACTAAGCAGCAAAGAACTTTCAATTAGCAGCAGTTTTTCGAAAAATAAAGTCTCTTAGAATAGAATATTTATAGAAGATACTTTGTTCAACCGTTGAAGATGTACATACAAGTTTTCGAAAGTACAAGAAAGGAAGCCCTATGTCGAAGCGATACATTCGGAAACAACGACGAATTTCGCTAATGAAATAATAAGTAGGTAAAACGACTCAAAAAAGTTAAGATTGTGATTATAACTATAGCCTCAGCTTAACTGGGTTCAATGCCGATTTGGGCTTCCCAGATCAATCCGGCTAAAGGGTGATTGTTGATGGCAGAGATCGATAGAACTAGATGAGAGACAGGCGAAACGAAGGACCCGCATGATGTGGTGGTGAATGCCTTACTCCCCGGAAAGGGCAGTAGCGCGTTCGTTCCCACTGCAGACAGCTGCGGTCCGGAGTTTTGCAAATATCTTAGCATCATTAAAACGACTTATTGAACTATTTTCTGTAATAGCTGAAACATTAGTCCAAAGTCGGAATGCTAGCAACTTTTTCGACCGCGTATGAGTCACATGGGAGTCATATCATTGCGAATGTGTCGAAAAAATATATCGGAACTAACAGATTATTTCTAACCAGATTGATCAATAAATTAATGCTAAAAAGCACCAGTAATGACTACAGTTTGATGAGACGTCCAATTCCACATAGCCATCGCATACATCGCTCCTACTCTGTAAGATATATGGTACAGTGATCTTACCTTATACGTTATTGGTACACTTTTCTAGAAGTGTTTAAGTTGTAAAAGGTATTTCGTTATGAAAGCAATTTCCCCCAACGTTGCCACTTTAGCCGATTACCTAATAGAATGTTGACAATTCGAAATGAACGTCAATAAAATAAAAGAAGACATCGGATCTACTCCAAAAGCATGAAGAGATCACGATAAAATTAATCTCTGAGAATTACCTTTAATAAAAAACTTATTACCCCAAAAAGCTTTCAATTTTTATAATTCTTAATCTTATCCTTATTATCTTATCTTCAATTTTGGTTTCTTAAAAGTTCTGAAGTTAAGGTTTGGCTCTGAGAAAGACGAAGAGGTTGGAACGTTAGTCGAATAAACTGTTTTATCAACCTCGCGTTAGCTTAACAATCCAAGGAGTTCGGTCGGTTTCGAAGATATTAAAAGTTCGCTCAAGTTCTTAAGTCAAAAAACATCGATTTTAATGATGCACTCGAGAATCAGGAAGTTCGTTAGGCAATAATAATATGGATTTACTTTCTGCAGAGATATCTAGAGACTAAAGTACGTCACCGTACATACGTTTCCAAATTGGTGATGATGAACATCAAAGTGAATTGTGTCAGAACACAAATAGAAACAGGAAGCACGTCGAATTTCGGAAGTGGATTGTAGTCGGCTGAAAATCATGATGTACGCCAAAAACTATTGTTATGCCTTTATTTGTTTGATTGTTACTTGTTTCCCAATAGTTTCGGGCTTGCTGTGCAGCTGGGTAAAGCTGGACGACCATGGAGGTGTTAACATGGACCAAATTTTCAGTTCACGAAGTCAAGCCCTTCTAATGCTTAATTCAAATAATTCACGAAGAATGCCTCCTGGACTACATAACATCAGCTGCAGGCACAGGATAAGCAAAAACTGAAGCTCCAAGAAACTTCTTATTTGTATCGTTCGTGTAAGTAGGGCGCGCGTAGCACAGTGGTTGGAGGATGCTCTGCAATGCACATGCGGTCATCGATGCATTCCCACGTACCGTTCTCACCAAGTTTTCCATCCTTGCAATGTCATCAAACTAGTACCATACTTGTCTGTAAGGATAAAACGCCGACGTGATACAACTTTAGGCTATTGAAAGTCATTTTATAGAGCACGTGTGCATTACATAGGCCCTAACGATGCTTAATGAAGCTGAATGCGTAAAGCATCCCATCCCTCAGGGATTGGCTACGCCGACAGCTTTATCCATTGGCTTGATTAGTTATGTCTTACTAATTGTATTTTTATGAATGACTATAGAGCCTGTCCATTATTTCTAAAATATGCAATGGTCTTTTGTTAATGAATCAAGAATTGACAGAAACCGTAACTAGATTAGTATAAAACTATTCTTACCTTCCTCTTCATCCTGAACACCAGCGTACTTCTCTTCTAGTAGAATCAGTAAGAGAATTAATGAAACGATGCATACCAAACATGCGAACCAGGCTGATGAGGTGTACATATCGACATGCAACGGTCCAAACACCCATCCGGGGTAGTTAATGGGAGAGAACACCACCTAATATTATAACCATTTTACTCAAGTTACTCTTGTCGTGTTATTGTCGTAATCTTTTCTTTATCTCTTACCTCGTTTTTTTACAAAGTTCCTATTCAATCTGAACTGCAGAACCTATGTTAGTAATTCAGTGAATACACTTATCTACCTTCCACTGTTCGTACTTAAGACCATGTTCTTATCGTATTTGTTATGTTATACTGTAACTGTTTCTTACCGGCATTGCTGGTCCGATTGTCATACCGATCACATAGGCGGCCTGCACAAGCGTGATTGCTCGCAGTCGGTCCTTCAGACTACTGCCGGTGGCCGCATAGGCTCTCATCACACTCACGGTCCCAGCGCCGAGACCAACGAAAAACCTACATTCGGACGGTTGTAACACTTTTTCCTTTGAAATCGCAGTTGTAGAAGAACACAATGAGGTAGCCTTTAACCGACTACTGTTGTCATACTGAGATTTACGAATTAATTGAAAAGATGAGCTGATGCTGTTGTTATTCTGTAATCAAAATGCTTTCGAGCAAACACACCTAGATACCATCATCACCCATCGTCGTTCTTCTTGCTTAAATGCTTCTACAAAGCAAAAAATGACATTCGCTACGATCATTATAGTGATTCCATAGATCAGCGGTTGTCGTACTGAAATTTACTTCTTTAAATTATTATCTTAAGATGTTCTTTCCATGTTTCTGACTTCGTAGTAACTCAGAGGTGCCTCCAAATTTTGAAATATCACACAAGCTTTTATGTTAACTCCTTGCAACACATCGGGTAACGGTATAGTGTACATTAGTCAAACTACTAGGATTAAATGATTGGGTACGAGAAGATTCCCCAGAAACATGTCAATGAAGCTTCAAAATCCGCATGTGGAAAACCTGTGGTAGAGAACAGACGATCAAGAAGTTCGGTGTTGGAAATTGGTACCTTAAGAAAACGGTACCACAAGAAGATGACTAGATGAAATGAAGGCGTCACTGGGCGTAATCCGTTGACATACACGAATATCACTTACACATGGTATTTACAAGTAGACGGTGGCGCTTACTAAACATCGTACGAGCAATGGTATATTGTGGGTAAAAAAGCTGAAACAGGAATGGAGCTCTTGGTGTTGATCAATCCCTGAGGGATGCGCCACGCATTCAACTTTATCAAGCATAGTTAGAGGTGACTGAGTACATATCTGGCCTATACAGTGATTTGTAGTGGCTTACCGATGCTACCGATATGCGTCAGTGTAGCCGTCATCCCATACTGGTTTGGCATTAATTTGCCAACCGCTGGTGGATGAAAGGCTTAGTGACCCTTGAGCACAGGATCGAAAACATGTGTATTGCAGGGCGCCTCTAACCACTGCGCTACACGTGTCCCTCTCTAGTGGGTGTAATCATTATTTCCTTCAAGAAAAGAGGCGGTTGAGCCTGAAGCTGAAAGGCATCCTTATCGTTGCAAAGCGCATATTTCATGTCAGAGGATTGTCGGAAGGAAAGAGTTCTAAGCTTCTTCTGACTGTGTCGCACTTCGTTTGACTGGTGAATAATGTCGGTTTCAAGGGATTGCTCCAGGATAGAATACAATTTTGTTCAAAGAGAAAGCGGTGATAGCATAAGAAGTCTGAAGAATTCTTGTCTGAGCCCTGTCGAATGTTGCATCATGCCATTTGTTTTCCATAAAGATAACGATAGGGTGAAAAATCTTAATAGCTGTTTTTTTGTGCCCATAATGAACGTTCATTGCTTCTATTTAAGTCTGAAGTCTCAGTTCTACAATCAAACCACCAGATCCAAACTTCTACAGGAGAGAAAAATCGAAATTGACTCTTCCATGCAAAGCTCGGGTTACCATTAAGGACATGAAGTGTGTTAGAGCCTTAGGATCAGAGATTTATTTGTTCAAGGTGCTCTTCACAAAGCACATGCACTTCCCTGCAACATATATTTTCGGAAGTACATCTATCCGAGACTTATAGAGGACTTCTACACCAGACTCTAGACTTGGATTGCTTCATTGCATGCATCAATGAGTTAGAGAGGTGTCTACCTGACTAAGCAATCCAGATTCCGAGATGGAAGCTATGTATCGCTGTGGAACGACCGCAAAAAACACATATTGTTTTAGAAGTTGCTTAGGAGCGTCAACTGCCCTTTGATGTAAACGTTTTTTCTGATTTTATTTGAGAACATCGCAACATACGCTATCTTATCAAAGTTCACTGTCCTAGCAATGGCTCCGTCACACGAGAAATATGCATTCATTATACATCAACACGCAACGGGTCTCCCTTTCCCTTTCATCTAAACAAAGGGGATCGGCAAAAGCTAAACTATCACGAGAACGAAACCCTTGCTGGTTAACCCACTGACCGTAGCAATTGTTCCAGAGTGCTAAATTATGATCTACTCTATTGACGCACCTTTTCGGTGAGGTCATCTGGTGCGGGAGAAGTTGATGCGATGCAAAATGGATTTATTTCGATGGACTGCCGATTATGAAACTCGCATGTCATGTACTTAGGGAGACTAACGAGAACGGATCACAGCATCAAGTAGAAGCTGTGCAGAAAAGCAAAGTGTGCGTATTCTCGTCTTTCGAAATGTCACCGATATGCTGACTAACTCAAAACTTGACATTCATTTGTACGGCGGAACGTTCCGTTCAATGTTTCTTCCTACTCAGTAGATAATTCGGCTGGTTCATCAATCATATCGCGTACCGATCTTGATACGTATTAGGTTTCGTGATCCAAGGGTAAGATATAGATTGGAGCTCATGTGAAAAACATCAGAAAACAGAAAGAAGCTAAGAGTTTGGCCTTGATCATTCCCTCAGGGTACCCAATGCTTCCGATTCTATGAAGCATCGTAAAGGTGAATGAATGCATGCCACAATGAAGCGTTGAGGCCTACCGATGCCTCGACTCGCTGTATTTTCTTCCTAAACAAATTTGGTATCAATTTGCTCAAAGATCATGTGTATCACAAGACATTTCTTATAACTGGCGTCCTTGATTAGTAAACGGAACCTGTCACCTTCAAAACGTCTTCGATGAGCAAAATGCTGTCGCCGACGGTTTACTGAAGACAGGACGTCGCAGTAAATAGGTATCTAATTAATTACTTGATACTTGTTACTTGAATGATCCGGCCTCACTGGTTGTACCGGTCCCGGCATAACCTCCATTTTTTCGGAAAGCTGCTGGTTAAGCCATTTTGGTTCCCTGGAGTCCCGAGGTCAGTCTGACCAGTCCGCCCCAGGTCTTCACCACCACGGGCAGCCGCAGCCCTTGTTGATCAAAGAGAACTTTGCAATCATGCGACTTTGATACCAGGATGGTGGTGGATCCTGGTATTTGTTCACTCTTAGCTAGACCCCTGGTGGAAACGCCAGACTCCTCAGCTAGGAAGACCCTGCCAGGGATCCCTCGCTCTATATCGCAGCCCGATGCCCAGTAACACCTACTATCCACAATGAAGCAGTGAACCGTTGGAAGGAACCAATGAATTTATTAAGACTCATGAAGGTTTGTAGATGCCATATAGTGCTCCAACAGGTAAGTGCCGATGCCGAAATCCGTGTAGTTGGTGCGCCTTATTTGACAGCTAATTTTCAGTACGCTCGCTGTAACCGGGGTCACTTATGCGAGTCATCGTGCACAACAAGCGAAGTGGCTGCACCCCTTTTTACGGCGTACTTCGACTTTTCTAGGGATTTTTCCAGTATTTCCATTGGTCCATCTAACTATCCATTAAGCTCTCTTGTTTATTCTCCCATAATTTTAACACTTCTCGAATTCTTATTTGTGGGAAAACAATCATTCACTGTGTCAAAACTTGCTATCGGCGTTCAGTTCTCGCCTTCGCAACATATATGAACTACATGTTGGTGAAATATGACTACAATGATGCTGAGTTATTTGGAAAACTCCGTACCGTAGGTGTCTACAGTAGGGATCGAACACGCTATTACCCTTTCCGGGGGCAATTGCGTTAACCACCACACCATGCGGGCCCATCATTTCAACTTACTCTTAGCCGTGTTTGTTTATGTTTATTTTGGTTCATATGTTGGTATTTTTTGCAACACCCACTCCATAAGGCCCTCGCTCGCGAAACGAACTCGTCCAAAAAGATTCGTTCATTTTCCTTTCATGAATGGTTAACTGTATTTTGTTTCGCAATCCATTGCTTGAGACTGACTGCCAAAAGTGCAATAAAAAAATTGTATAGGGCAAAATAAACGACGACACTACCTCAAACAAAATGAGTGGATATCCCCTCACACCACTCATTACACCGACCTACGTGTGATTGGAAATCCACTCACCCCGTTCCCTAAGTGTTAAAGTTGGACCATCTCATTTGTGGACTTCTTTTTACAGCTAAATCGCTACCATGAATTTTCCAGCACTTCTTTGTACAGTGTTTGTTGCTGCAGAAATTCGACGAGCCAATTAGGTTTCTATATTCTTGTGTATTCACAGGATCTACTCTGTGACACTGTCGATCGACGAAAATCGCTCTTCTTCATGAGTTTGATTTAAAATTAAATTCCACAAAAAATCAAACAATCGAAAAATCGATTAGTGGGAATCGATCAATGGGAATTCTAATTTTCTATGATCATTTTCACATCAGAGCAAGTTCCACCACGTAGAAGACGAAACGGATTTCACTTGTGACATTCGTAAACGACAAAATAATTCAGCGATCAAGTTGTAATAGCTTACTAGACTTCGAGCGATTCATCCAAAACCCGAATATCGGGGACGCCATGCCTTGACCAAGTGAAAATGAGGCCGTGATGATACCAAAAAACATCTCTGAAGTTGTTGGATCCACCTAAGCGATTCGTACATTATCAGGTCGTTCAGAAATGAATGAGCGTTCTAAATATTTATTGTTTTAATTTATTTTTTACCAACAAAATATTCTTCGTACATCACAATATTACATATGATTAGAAAGCTGATTTCATGCTCTTTTATTCTACCAAAAAGTATTTTTTTTACCAGCTTCGGACTTTGCAATTTCAGGTGTCTTCGTCAAATTTTTTCATGAGTTCAAACTCGGTCGTAGTGCAGCAGAAACGGCTCGAAACATTAAAGAAGTTTGAGATGAAGGTAATTTTGGTGAATCAACAGTGCGGACATGGTTCCGAAAATTTCGATTCGATGGCTTCGACGTTGAATTCAAGAAAGGCCGCAGACGTCCCGATGAACCTGACGACGACGAATTGAAGGCACTAGTGGAATCAAACACGCGAACAACTTCGAGAGCTTGCAGAGAACAGTTGGCGTAAGCACAGCAACAATTTCTACTGACTTGAGTCGCGTAGGAAAGTACAAAAAAACTGGACAAATGGGTGCCGCGCGAATCAAACGACAATTTAAAAAAATCGCCGTTTTAAAGTGTCGTCTGCTCTTATTCTGCGCAACAAAAACGACCCTTTACTTGGCCGAACTGTAATGTGCAACGAGAAATGGATTCTATATGACAACCTGCGACGTTCAGCTCAATGGTTGGATTGCGATTAGGCTCCACAGCACTTCCCAAGTGGAAATTGCACTAAAAAGGTTATTGTGACTGTTTGGTGGTCTGCAACCGGGCTGATTCATCACAGCTTTTTCAATTCGGGCGAAACGATTAGGGCAGAAAAGTTTAGCCAACAAGTCGACTAAATGAACAACAACGACCAGTATTAGTCAACAGAAAAGGACCAATTCTTATCCATGACAACGCCCAGCCTCACGTTGCGGAACCAGTTCTGCAGAAGTTGAGCGAGTTGGGATACGAAACTTTGCCTTATCCACCGCATTCATCAGACCTTTCGCCTACCGACTGTCACTTTTTCAAGCACTTGACAACTTCCTGGGCAAGAAATGCTTCACCAACCACGATTTCGGAAAAAGTGCCTTCAACGAATTCACCGTTTCCACAACTCCAGCATTTTGTGTAACTGGAAAGAATAGACTTGTTTCTCATTGGCAAAAATGTGTAGATTCAAATGGTTTTTACTTTGACTAATAAAGTTTTGTTTAAAGCAAGTTATGGCATTTCAAATAGTATAGTTAAAAACGCTCATTTATTTCTGAACAACCTATTGACTATTTTAATTTATTATTTACCGCCTACTCTTTTTAATGACAGAGTATATTGCGAAATAGATAGAACTAGCTGAGAGACAGGCGAAACGAAGGATCCGCATGGTGTGGTGGTGAACTCGTTACTCTCTGGAAAGGACAATAGCGCGTTCGTTTCCCACCGCATACACCTACGATCCGGAGTTTTGCAAATATCTCAGCGTCATTGAACCTAATGACTGCTTATAAAGTGTTGTATTGTATGTCTTAACTGTCCGTTTTTGTCTAGCATTATATTTTGAGGTGTGCAAGCGATAGGTAGATCGCCAAATGTGGGAGAGTGAGAGATGTAGAGGCGCGTCGTTGAACAATCCGGCACCACTCATCTCACTAGATGACGTCGTATTTTACTATTTTTTTTTTGAAAGTTGAATAACCCAATTGTCTAAGTCTAGCATTTCATTGCAGTGCTTCATTGTAAAACTAGTAACATTAAAAGATCAATAGAAGGAAAGCATTAGACGCATCATACCTACCGTTTTCAGAAATGGCCAAAGTGTAGGGAAGTATATAGAAAATTGTACTCCACAGAACATGCAAATCGCTGTCACCAGATAAATGGATTTCCATGATGTTTCCTTGCTGTTTCTAAACATGCTCCACTAAGAAAATGAATACGGTAGGCAAAATTAGTATTGCTTGGTTGTGCGTTTAGCTTCCCTATCCCAGTACTCGACCTGCTTATCATAGTAAGTAGCATCTTAGCCAGGCCATCAAAACTGAGACGAGGTTCGAGATTTCAATTCAGAACCTTGGCTAAGGATAGACCAGTACCAAGGTAGAATACGTCTATAGCTTATCCTCGTACAAGAAAACAGTTTATAAAAGGCAAAATGTTATGCCGCCGATTTCTCATCAAGAAGCGCAAGACACTAAGCACTTTGAAACAAGAAGACGCGTAACTTAGTGGTAATCGTTCAGTTACTTGTTGATCAACGGAATTACAGAACACAAATATGACCTCCTTCACGCCAAACTTTTCTTCTACGTCCTTACAAAAATCCAGTATTCCGGTAGATCATTTAAGAACCTCATTTGCTTATTTCGAAATTCTGACTCGCCAACTTGTTTTTGAATCGAACACAACTCATGGTTGAGGAGCTTTCCGTCGCATCACGAAAAGAAAAGTAAGCACTATGTTATGAACATTCATTGCAAAGCTATGCAAAGTGTCCTTGAGTTTTTTCTGATTTCCCAATACCAAGGAAAACTTTATTGAAACTCCAACCACTCAATGCTTGTAGTGAGCTAACGCCACACTATTTTGAGAAACTTCACATAGAGCTAGAGACATCTACGTACTTCTCTTCACCGGTTCTATTCATCGTGCTTTCTGAATGTTTCCCTGATATTTTTGACATTTTCCTGGATTGGAAAGATTTGCCATTCTTCATATTTGGCGATGCAACCATCCAGGCACTAGGAGGAAAGAAATTAAAATGTCAAAATGTTGAGAAGAACAATGCATATATAATAATGTTCAAAAATGCACAGCAGACGTTACATCTACTAAGCGGAGTCTCTTAAGATAAGCAGTTTGATACTTCTATTTGTAATAATCGCTAGCCCTCTGTTAGCAACCCACTCACAAATTTGCAAATCATCACTTCTTCTATAAGGGTTGACGACAATCAGGAAACTCCTTAGCAAAGATATTTGGCTGGGACTCCAGCTACAAGGACACGTAACTGGACCGGTGCCACAAATAAGCATTTGCTTCCCGAACAATGGATGTTCTACTCAGTGACATCGTTCGACGAAATAGCTGGTAAAAACCGTTGTCTTGATGAGAAAACACAAGGTGATTATCACACCAATTATTCACGGTAGCAGGCGTTTCGACGGATTTCGCTATATTCAGAGCTTGGAAAGGTGAAAATGGCATTCAATCTAGTCAGCCAGATACGTCCATAGCCTCATCAGAAAAACCCGAAACCCATACATCTAGGGCAGATGTTTTAACACGCGAGAGGCACACCTAACACCCATGTAAACTTCGCAATTCGTCTCCATCAAAAATAATAAGTGGATGACTCAAGGAAAATGGTGATTGCTTGAATAAACTGTCTCTAACCGGACTGAAATCTAGGTAACGCGTTTTCCTGTTAAGTTTATGGAAACATATGGCTGACTTGATTTCACGTCCACTCGACATTTCCAGGCTTTGAAAAGAAGCAAAGTTTGCCTAAACCTCAGCTACCATGAATAAATATGATAACAACAACTTCACGTCTGCTCGTCAAAGAAACTATAAACTACAGATCAGTGCCGAGATCAATAGAAAATCTGTCGTGGGAAATACCGGGAGGGAGATTCGGACTGCAAACGACATTATTGGAATGGCATGAAAAGAAAGAGACCATGCCCTGCATGACCTAGTAACGGTTTCTCCTTCCCCATCCACGGCTCCAGATCAGGCTTTCCAAGTTTCGCATGATCATCCTATAAGAGAACAGAAGTAGGGAGTACCCACGAGTGAAGTAGCTGATTATTCTCCTCGGAGAAAAGACATTTTCACGAAAAGTTGGTGCCTTTCGAAGGTTGCCCATCGGTTGTCCAGAAAAGAACAGCATCGACTACTACCTATTAACCTGTGCAACTAATGGCAGCCAATTAGATATGTGTTATTGGTAACTTGAAAAAGTGATCTGCAACAAAAAGTCGTACAAATTTAGTGTGGTAGACTTCAGTACTTGCGAAAGTGGGTAGAACACCATCAAACTTGGGATGGAGGATCGAAATGATCAAAGCATACAGTAAGTCTTTCCTCGCGAACTCATTTTTCGAGAGGAAAAGAATAATCGCCGGTAGACATGTGAATTACTGAATAGAACAAGTATGACAATTGGAGAAAGAAACGGAGAAAACAGAAGATGATCCCTTCTTGATATCTCAGTGATGTCATCGTTCCTGCACATAGTCTAACGGAAATCCTTTGGATTTGCTTGTCAGAGACTCCCAATCTGCGTCGAATACGCCCTAATTTTCCAATCAAGAAGGTTGGATCACATCTCCATCGCTAGGAAACTGCTCGAAAAGAGAAGGAAGCTGGAACTTTGTCTTAACACATCCAAGACTGGTGATCGAATGCATCAACTGTTAAATACTCTCCTAGGAAGGCCCAAATCGAGCAGAAATAACTGTTAGAAGCAGCTCACAAAGTAGTCAGTCTAAAAGATTTTGTTGTGACCTACACGAGCATAGAATTTCGCCACCAGCCTTGACAAACAAAACGGGATTTAACTTAATGAAGCCGAGATATTTGCAAAACTCCGGACCGCAGGTGTCTGCGGTGTAGAACGAGCGCGCTGTTGTCCTTTCCGGGACTAACGAGTTCACCACTACACCATGCAGGTTCTTCGTTTTGCCTGTCTCTTAGCTTGCTCCATCGATCTTTTGCCATCAGCAATCACCCATCAGAGGGATTGATCTGGGGAGCCCAAATCGGCATTAAACTCAGTTAAGCTGAGGGTGCAGTTATAATCACAATTTTAGCTTATTATTTACTGCCTACTCTTTTTAATGGTAGGGTATATTGCGAAATTTAACTTAATGATGCTGAGATATTTGCAAAACTCCGGAGTGCAGATGTCTGCGGTCGGGAACGAACGCGGTATTGTTCGGAGTATTGCAAATATCTCAGCATCATTGAGTTATACTTCGCAATATACCCTGCCGTTAAAAAGGGTAGGCAGTAAATAATAAATTAGAACCGTGACTGCCACCTTAACTATTTCAATGCTAATATCTTCAGCACTCTTGTTGGACAAAAGTAACCACAAAATGTTCTTACTGAAAACCCGAATTGGCATCAAAGGCTAGAAAATGGCACAAGCGATTCCTTCAAGCTGACAATCACGAAATACACACTGTCTTCAGAAGGAATGGACCCGCTATCAGTGGAAAACTTTGCATACGGTCATTCTGCTTAAAAAGCCTGACTGGACGGATCTTCTGTGTAATAGCTTCTGCCTCTTTATTGTGCTCTTCAAGTTTTTCACAACTGTTTTCCAATCACACATATGAAAAATTTACCAGTGAATACGAATTAGTTGAGAAAGAAACCATCTGTCTAGAATTTTACTTTAATTTCACAACGAAGCCACAGCTCTGGACCTAGAAGACTGGCGACAAAGACTCACGGAGCTAGTCCTAATGTTTGTCGACTACAAAAAGCCATTCGACAGTGCCTAGGCGAATGACGTTCCACCGGCGCTCTTTGACCATGAAATGGTCGCGCCCTAAACAAGAACTCTAGGTGCCGCTATAACATCTACACCATGAAACTATAGCACTTCGTGCGCATTCTTACCACTTCGTAGACGGATGGATGCAACAAGGCGACCGATTTTGTCAGAACTATTCACCAACATAACATAGCAGATAAATGAAATTTTCGTCCGACTTTCAGTGTGCAGCGACAATCCTCATGAGATAAAAATATCAATGAAGCTGGACACGCAAGTCGATAAGTAGTCCACTTCGTGAATAATTCACAGCGTGATGGCAAACAAATTGTGAGGAATGGTTCCCATTTAAGAAAAGCTACATCGTTTGTGTCTCTACGACTTCCACTGAACGTGGAAAACGACAAGAAGAAGAAAATGTTCGGAAAAATAAGAGTAGTGTGAACCACGATATAGACTCTCAAGTAAGCTTGCGGATTGAAGAGCTCAAACTTCTGAATTGACGAGTTCGGACGTATTAGACCTCTTACCATTCTATTAAGCAACGGAGGCGTATGTTAACATATTACAATGCTGAAAATATTGGGCCCCACTCACAGAGCTATCCAAGAGTGCCTTCCGAAACACAACCGAGACGTCACCTCTCTCACTTATTGTTTCGCTGATGGTCGAGTAATTAGTGGAGGAGCTAGTAGACCTTCGATGTTGCTGTGCAAGAGTAGCCCAGTAGGTTCTGCTCGCTCTAGGAACTCTTTGAGTATCACACATTTCTTGTAGGGTTCTCGTGAAAAACTCTGACCATCGAGTCAATGGTCTTCCGTATGTCCCAAGAAAGCCAGTCACTAACGGCTCTTCCACATCGGTTCTCCATCATACGTGTCATATATCCAGCCCACCTTGTCCTCTATAGTTTGGAATATAGAACAGCGTCTTTGATTCCTAATCGCTGACATAGGTCGAAGTGTCGAACCTCTTCCCTCAAGTGCGTGATATGAGATACTCCTACTATCGTCCTCTCGAATAAGCGTACAATAACAATGAGTGATCTTTCGTCCTGCTTACGCAACAACCACGTTTCTGGTGCATACGTTAAGGCAGGAAGAATCGTGGAGTCGGAAAGTGGCCACGGAGACGGGTGTCCTTTGTTCTCTTCACTACCACCTTCATCCTCTTGAGAGTTCCCTAGGCCGCTCGCTTCCCTTTGCATCGCAACTGCGACATAAACAAGGATTTATAATGCATGGTCCTAACCGTCGAAAGGTTTCCGGTTTCAATATAAAAAGACATAAAGTGTTCGTCGTCGATTAATATTTGATGGATACGTCATGCATCCTCCATTCAGCATCGCAGAGGATATTGATGAACGCAGTTTATATAACGATTTATGGAAATCTACCGACGTATTAGGTCTGAATGTCTATACCGATACCAGCTGGCCGACACCAGAAGTGTCGAGAGCACGATTTTGCCCGGTGCGCGGTACTGAACCAACGACCACATGTGCAGTGTAGGGTGTATCTAACCAATGTGCTACGCCCGGTCTTCAAAATACGGAAAAATGTACTTCGAAAGCGAAACACTGATGGACCGGTCATGTAATGAGAAGAGTCCACAACAGATGGGAGAGAAAAAAAGTGGAATGCACTACAACAAGGGAGTCTACCTCTCTTTACACCTTCAAGATGAGATGGTGTATTTGAATCTAACGTCATTCAGCTGTATTCGTAGCTGCAAAACGTTTATCGACAAGAAAACAACATTCGAACATTTCACCATATCCGAAGCACGCAACCACTATGGGTAAAGTTAGCAAAGGAATGAAAGGAATGGAAGATATGCTGGGTCTCGTGCCTAAAGGACCAAAGCTCACACATACTTATAGAACAAATAATATAGAGCAGATAATGTTTACATTAGTAGTTCATTAAATCTAAAACAGTACTTGATACTCTCCAATGTATCACGTCTGATTGTGACCGTCATCGTTCAGATATTGCGATTAAGACTTAGCGTGATAGCGCACACGAATTCGGTTGGTCCAGGCAGGTGACAACAGACTGAATGAAACACGAATACCTAGCTGAATTGGTCCTTAAACGAAAAACAGCTTAATTAGTTTCAGCAGAAAAAACATTAAGGCGTAGGACGAAAATTTGCCAATTTCTTCAATTCCCTTTTGGGTCTGTTATCACATAGAAAATGAAGAATTAACTGTGCCAAGGTTC